TTCAAGCAGGTGATTGAGGGCGCCGCCAATCGCATGTCCTTCTGGGATGCACAAGTCCTGCTTGCCAGTGGCGAGGCTTCTTCTCTGATGGTGGCCGACTGGCTTTTGGGCCATACAGGAGACCCTCTGGCAGCGCCCTTTGCCCTGCTCTTGGAGCGCGTCGCTGCCAGGGCATTGCCAGGAGAGGCTTCTAACAATGAGGTGAAAGGGCTGGTGAGACTTTCGCACACAGAGATTGTGGTACTTGAGGAAGACAAGGTGCCGCTTCGTCTTGACAGGGCAGCCCCAAGAATCGATGAGGTGCATGGGGCACAAGGGTGCGTTGAACAACTGCAGTGTGAACTATCAAGAAGTAGGCTTATGCTGCAAACGTTCGAGAACTATGCCTCTCTTCCATTGCTACCTCAGCGGCTACGGCAAGACCTCCTTCGCGACTTTGAGGAGTTGCGGCAGAAGGGACAAGGAGGAGACGCCAAGCAAGAACCAGGGTGCGGCCGGCAGAAACAGTTTTTTGCTCGAGTGGGCGAGCTGGACCATGACGTTTTCTTAGTGGCCACTTGCCCCACGGAGTTCCGTCCGAAGGCAGCTCCTTTGATTCGACTGCATGTGGCAGCTGCCACATGCACTTGTTGATTATATGACTACTCAATGGGCTGCTTTTCTCCAGGATGCGTAGGATTCAGGGCTTGCAGCCTCAGATCCTGGTCATCAAACCTCCCGAAACTGAATCCTCGAAGTCCTCAACAATCCCGGCTTCGAGGCCGACAAGCTGGTAGACAAGATCCTGGGAGAGCTCCTGAAGCTCAAGGCCGACACGCCCAAGAAGCAAGTCCAAAAATCTCTAATTCTAACGGTTGATACTCGAAATCCTGCCTGGCTCTACAAAACAATACTACCATAGCTCCGAGGGTTTAAGGTACTTCAGGTCATGCAGGATGTATATCGTCAACAGAAGGAAGAGCTTTAGGACTTTAGGGTCATTCAGGGTCCAAGTGTTGCGAGCTTGAGGGTTCCAGGTCCACGGTCGCTGGTTCTCCTCATTCCGAAGGCAAAAACCAGGTCCCGACCAGTCAAGTTTCGCAGTCAGTAGAATCCACTTCATCTCGCTGCCCTGGGCATGACGTCAGCTGTGTTGTGAAGGCTTGAGTGATGTTGAGTTGGCTATTTGCTGGATATCATTGTCATTGCCTGAGCACATTTTTCCCAAGGGCTCTTCAGGCTCAGAAGGGGGAATATCCGAGTCCGAACCCCTTCCAACTCAACCCAAAGCCGAGAACAAAAAAGCTAAAGACTCCCTAATCTCCGCCCCCCTCCCCCTCCCTGCCAATGAACTTGATGTCTTGAAGGTGAAAAGCGACGTGCAGGCACTTCAAGCTGTCAACAGCCCAGCGAGCAACCAGCCGAAGTTTTTTGGTCGGCATTGGAAGCTGTGTACGGTCGTTCAGGGCCATTTAAGCGTCAGTTTGGCTGTAAGACCTTCGGGGGGGGGCAGTGCCTCTACCCTGCAAACCGATCCTGAGGCCCAAGCATAGCCTAAACTCCGTGCTCCCCGATCACCCCAGCCACCGCTGAGACTGGAGGTCAAAGGTTCCAGCACAATAATGTCGTGTTCTGTTTGCTTGAACACATTTTTCCACCGCACCCCGATTCCAAGGTTTGTGAAGCATCCAGTTCCGGAGTCTACCTGGAGAGAGTGGGACAAGGCCTTCAACACCATTGACATTTCCAGGGCTGGGTTCGTTACGAACGCGGACTTGAGGACAACAGGCCTAATATGCCCAGACATCTGTGACTTCCTGTGTTGCGCAGTTGGTGCAGCATCGGGTGGGGAAGCGATGCGCTTCACCAAGCCAGACTTTCTTTTCAAGCTTGCTGACCTCTGTGGCTGTCGGCCAATGATGCCTTGGGCATGAGCTTAACAAGGCTTGCTTGTTTGAGGAATGCCGCAGGCTACTTAACAAATGCACACCAGAAAGCCTGCGATAACTTGGTTTTAGGGTCGCCTGGATAGCTAGGAGCATTGCGGTACCAGCAGCTTCCTGTTGCATTTGTACGCTAAACAACTTCTGTAAATTGGCAGAAATGCTGTTATGAAGTTGCAAAATAAAGAGGTGGAAAAGCTGTAAGTTAGTGTCTCTGGACCTTATGATGTGATTTACAGTGTTTGGAGCCTCGCATAGGTAGAAATTCTGTAAGTTAAAGTGTCTGGTGGACTTGCGAGCCAAGGCCCTGCAGGGTCTTGACTTTTCGATCCTCATTTGATTTTGTTGATCCCCGGTTTTTGATTTGTTTTGGTGCTTGATCACTTACCCGCAGAAAGCCTGCGACAGAAGCCTGCGGCAAAGTATCTTTGGTTAGTTCTCCGAAGCGGCAGGATGGCTTCCACATCGATTAGCTGTGGGGTGGGGATGATCGAAGTAACTTATCTTGTTGGCCTTTTACCGCGCAAAATGCAGAATGCGAAAGCCGGGCAGATTTCATACAAGTACTCAGGCAAATGCCCGCAAAATACAAAAAGCAAACTCACAGTCAGCAGGCCATAGGGCCCAGCCTGGGCTGGAATCAGGCCTGGGTCGTTAAGTGAAGGTTTCTTTGTGTGTGTGTGTGTGTGTGTGTGTGTGTGTGTTTCGTAGCAACAATGCAGCAATATTTGCTAATGCTCGCGTGGCATGTCCTCAAGTTCAGAAGATCTTCCCAGGGATGACATTCATGCAGTCACGGGCCGCCGGCACTCCTGCAAGTTGGAGCAGTTCTGTCGGCATCACGATATGTCGTTTGACCGTTTGGCACGATTCAGCCGAGGCTGGATGGACCATTTGTAGATGCCCATATCATTCTAATCCGGGTGCAAGAGTCTAGTCGCAGCAGCAATTCAGCAGTGCAACTAGGCAGGTCAACAACTCAACTCAGGCCAAGAGTATTCCAGCCGGCGGAGTCGTTTCAAGGCCTTCTGCTGTGTACGTTAGCTTGTCAAAGACAAGTGGTAGGACACCATTTTATGAAAACTTTGGGCCGTGAAGTTGCCCTTCACGCTTACACTGGCATTTTGTTCAGTTTGAAATATGACAGTCAGGATCTGGGAAGTACTTGTAGCAAAGACAGGGAAATGCCTACTGAGCCATCCCGTTTAGTACATGCCAGCTGCACAGGCTGCCTGCTGGTTGACGGACCCCACCCTCGAAGTATTTGAGGAATAAGTCCCAGTCGACGCAGGCAACCGTCTGGCCTGTGCTTTATCTTCCCAAAAGTGAATGGTTCCAGCCTGTCCAAGCATTTCAACTGCATGCAGTTTCTGCTAGAAGACATGCATTCTATGCTTTGGAGAAGGCATTGTTCAGTCAGGCAAGAGCATGCTCAACCTTTCGCGCATAGCGTGAGCTTCAAAGCGGTTGATCTATGAGAGACATGAGATTTCAACCAGGAAGCAGTGATCCCGGTAAGTCGTCTTGTTGCTCAACAGCCAGTTTCTCTGCTTGTAACAACATTTGCGCCGGGCCTCCTTTCATGATCTCTTCAAGCGTGCGGAACTGCCTTGATGCTGGAGGGATCTGGATTCTGGCAGTCTGGCATCCTGTCACACAACTGAAGCCCAAATGGCAAAGACGACGGCTCTTACAGATGCAGATTGCCCCAGATCCTGGTGTGTCTTGGGCGCCCGCCCTGACCAGTGCTGAGTATTGCGCCGTGCCTTCCACCCTAAGATGTAAGCCGAACACATCCGAAGACCCTACAAGTTACAAGTTTAAGTCCAGTCCTTGGTGTTGACCAGGCCAGTACCTGGCAAAACTACGCAAGCACTACCTGTACTTATCGTGAAGCAGCTCAGGTTCAATTCCCCGTTTGGGGGGTGGTGGGGCGGGGGGAGTGGTAGTCATGTCCATAATATACAGGACTAACACTGCGCCGACGTATGGTATACATACGGACGTACGCACTTGCCTACCGACCTACGTACGTGCACGCATGCATTCTTACATATATACGAACATATCCGTGCGCACTCCCCAATGAGCTCCCGCGGCTGAGACTCCTAAAACAGGAAGGCATTGGCAGTTGTGCAGCGAGGCCAACACATATTTTGGAAGTCTCGCTTGACCGTGCCGTTGCCATCTGCTCTTTTCGTTCCAATCTGTTTCTTGGCATGGGCCAATGGGCACGGGCCTGGCCTTTCCAAGGCCACTCCCGACCCCTTCCTGTCAGTTTCCCACGCAAAAAGCCCCCGTTATCCCAGCTATTCTTAAGCCCTCAGAAATCCTGAACTCTGAGACTCTGCAGAATCAGCAGTTCAGCTCTGGCCGTGCCTGACGGATGCCCCAAGCCCAGTGGGAGTGAACAGACTTCGGGCTTGGAGCAGCAGCTGCCAGGTACAGGGGCATCTTCCGAGTTCATGATTCTTGCGGCGTGTCAAGGGGGGGCAGACAAAAAAGGTCACGGTGCTTGCTACAGCCTCTGTGTTTTGAGGCTGCCTCACGTATACTTCTGTGGTATGAGGGCTTTGCAGACATTTCGGGAATGAGAGGTGTTGTAATTCTGTGTGCAGTCAGTTCGAAGACCAGCAAAGAGAAGAACGAGTTGGCAAGAATGCAAGACAGAGAAAGAGAGAAACAAAAAATGCAACACACACACACACAAAACCAACAAAAAGCATCAGCGCAAGATACAGACAGAGATAGAAAAAGATAGGGATAAAGAGAGGAAAAAAAAACAAGAAACACCGTAGCTGGGAACTTTTGCACCTCCGCAGCTGGTCATCTTTTGTCATCCCCTTAGCCCCTCGCCTCTTCGTGGGTTTTTTTATGTTGAGCCGACGGCTGAAAACTAAGCTTAGGCCGGTTTCATGAGTGAAGAAAGGCCTGGTCAGATTCCGGAAGAGGGAAGCCGGCAGCCTCTGTGTGCAGAGAACGGTCGTGGCAAGTTCCTTGTGGAAGGTAAGGCCAAGGACTAAGGCAGTAGCTCTGACACTTTCCAAGGCCACCCCAAAACACTCCGAAGCGCAAAAGGTCATGCACTTGCTTCCACAATCTGCCTCAGTGCAGAGGGACGGCGTGCTGCTCTCAGCTTCCCTTCCTCCGGAACAGGACTGGATTTCTTGGCTTCCAGGCTTCTGGGTTGAAGGCAAGACGAAGGCTTTGGACCATGTTTCTCAGTTGGAGCCTTTGGTGGAGATTGATGGTACTGCTCGTTACGACCCTCGAGCATGGGCACCTGAGGCCATCGTGTTCTTGCTGTTCGGTGGCCCTCGGCCCCATTCAAGAATAGATTCCATAGAAGGCTGCCTTTGCCTTTGAGACATCCGTTGGTCTGATGGAACAGATATCTTGACGCAGAAAATGGTCATGCACGTCGACTGAGTAGGAGCCGAAAGCTAACAATGAACATCCTAGGCCCGGTACACTTAAGGCCGGGCCTATGTGCTAACCTTACGTCTTTGGCATCGTGGGTAGAGTGCGTGTATACAGCTGGTACAAGCCCAAAACCTTCCCTTACGTACGCCGCAAGCTTTGTTAAGCAAATGCCCAAATGCAAACTGGAAGTCTTGGGATGCTCAGGCCATTCTCCTGTCGGAGCTGGCCAACAAGGCCTGGCTCCAGGGGAGGGAGCCCAGTAGGGGAGATCGGCTGAGGCTCAAATGAATCCAGCGTCTCTCCAAAACATGGGACGCCACCGAAATGTAGGTTCAAGGTGGATCCAATTTTGGTGGCTGATTATTTTAACAACTTTAGCGGGCTGAATCAGTGCCCGAAAACGCTTGTATCGAGCTCCCAAGAACTGTTTGAGCCCACTGTTTGCCCTGCATCCCTCAGACGAATGGCTCACACATGAGATCAATACGGTGGGAAGCCGACTTCTGAGGGCGGCGCCAAAAAAAAGAAGAAAGACTAGTGCGGTCAGAGGGGACTGGAGCCAGAACGCAAAGAACCCGGGGCCTGAAGGAACGACCCCCGACAGGGAGGAGAGGAAGGAGGGGACGCAAACCCAAAAAGGCCTGGAACCTGAGAAGAGCGAACCCGAGGCCTAAAAGAATGACCCCTTTAGGGTAGGAGGAGGACTGCTCAGCATCGCAACTCCATGGCCGCGAGCAACTTGCGTGGGGCCTGGGACGGCCCGTCAGGGAGGGGTTGTCGGGATATGTTTTTCGTGGGAACGCGAAGAAAAGAGCAGCTTGGCTCAAGCGATGACATGTGCGATGACCATACTTGTAGTACAAAACAACGCCTTCATCTTGCATCGCTTGGTAGAAATCCGCATCGGATGCGCGCACTTCGGACAGTTACTTTGAATCTTTCCATCTAACATCCACGAACATCCGACTTTTAACTTGTGTATACTTTGGGCCCCCACCCCCGCCTAAAAAACCCCGAACGTAAGCTCGTGTAGGCCTGAGGCAGCGCAAGCAAACCTCAACCACCAATTCCTAGCAGCTGCAATCCTTGAACATCCCGAATACAAGGGCAGCACATACAGGCTCTGCTTCCTAAACCGCCTTCGGGCTCTTTGAAGCTGTCATTCCTGCTCAAGCCCTCTCCCTGGTCTCGATTTTGGATAGCCACATCCCGACACAGAGAGGACTCAGCCGTTCGAGCAGAAGCATCCGCGAGGAACGCAGTTGTCCTAGGTGTCGCGTCCTCAGCTCGTTACATATTGCAAGCTACTTCCACCGGTCCAACGAGGGGGTGTCAGTGTATTTGCTTGCGGTTTGGGGTCCTCTCGCGGCATCAGACAGGACGTTCCGAAGTGTGTTTTTTCGCTTGTGCTGCTTACCTCTGGAAGCAGGTTACACTGCTAAGCCCTAGCACTTGCCTTGCCAAAACTAGAAGGAGGGTAAGCGTTTGTTGAGGCATGGTCCAGGATTGAAGATGCTAGGCTCAGGGGCTTCATTCAACTCGCGCGGTGGCGTCTGACATTCTCACAGACGCCCGAAGGTCCAAAGTTCGGGGGGGACGTTTCCAGCATGAGTTGTGAATGTCATGGTTCGGCATGTTAGACAGTTGGCAGGTGCGCTCCCAGAATGCACAGGAACAGATCTGGAAGGCTACCTGATGTCTTCACACAGGCAACTGCATCCTTAATCCGGGGTCATGGCGCTACAATGCAAGTCGCTATACCACTATGTGCTCAGGTCTCGGCCCTGCGATGGCTTGCCACAACCTCCTCCTTGCAGAAGGGACACTCGCTGCTGCACCAGATGTGCCTCGGCAGAGTTTCTGTTGAACTTAATGTTATGTCTGTTATGTTAAGCAAGACCTAAACAATTTCCGACCGGTCGTACAAGCGGTAGCCTCGAAGACAAAGGACCTGCAGACCGATCAGTGCGACTTCCGCTAAAGCTTGCACCATCTTGCACCCTGGGCAGGAGTCCTCCCCAACAGTTCTCAGAAGCTTGCTCGGGATGCTTCCGGCTCCTGGCAGTCCTGTGCCAGCGGCACCCGGGTCGCCAGGCGCACGCCGGGAGGGCGAGGGCTGGAGGGAGAGGTGTTGGAGGGGGGAGCAGTAGTGGTGGGGTTTGAGGTGTTCGTGATTCCTTCAAGTGGGTTTAGATGGGTTTGGGGTCTAGGGAGGCTCAATATTCAGCCTCAAAGCATTGACTTCACTTCGTAGGGTATTCAGGTGGTCATGCAGGACAGCTGCTGGGACACTCGCGTGCGCGGCACCCTCGACCTCTCCCTTGGAGTCCTTTTCAAGTAGGACTCATCTGCTCACACTCTGAAACCAGAAGAATCCAACCACTAGCGCTGTGAATAGGTCGTCAAGAGCTCCGAGGAAAGCCTGCAGAGCGGCCAATCACCATAAAGCCAGATACAGCCAGTGCCATGTGCTGGTCAGGGCGTTGTTTTTTGTTTGATAAGCCTGTTCAGTCAGCTTGGAAATAAAGCCAGGTACAGTCGGACGGCTTGATTAGAAAGAGCGGTCTGACGAGAAACAAAACCTAATGGTACTCAGTTCAGGAATGTTTGAATTTCAGACTTCAGGTAATGACAGCACAAGGGCTGCAATTCCCACCCAACCCCTGGACGTTCCCGATCCCCGCTCCTGGCCAGGCACATGCCACAGAGATGGGGGGGCTGCAAGCTTGCCTGCAGTGTATGCCACCTGTCCAGTGATTTAGTGCTTTGGTGCCTTTGGAGTTGGTACCAGGTCGCAGAATCTAGTTCTGGACTTTCAAAGTGTCCGAGCCTGAACTGACCCGAGGTCTCAGCCTATGTTGCGGAGTGAGGAGCCCCAGCATCCCAGCTTTTGTCATGGTTTTGGCGCTGAAGAGGAAGCGTCTACTCAACCGGCCCTCGGTTCCTTGAGTATATTGACGTGTCTGGGCCGGTGCTGCGCCAGGATGCCTGGGCCTCCCAAACCCCCCCCCGAGACCTCGGAATCTGCCCAGACTTCAATGAAAAGAAGTTCGTCATGGTGCAGAACAGATCCCAAAGCCGAAGCCCCTTCTCAATTCTACCCGAGAAGTGCAAGTGGAAACATCCTGGAACCAAAGAAACACATGTGCTTGCTCGACAACTTACAGTATCATCAGCTGTGTTCTGCGTGCCGGGAGATGTCTGCAAGGTCATGACACGGCCATCCATGGCTGTTGGTTGCTGATGGCTTTGTGCCTCTTGGCAACTGTCTGAATCTGTCTGAACGGTTCTTTGGTGGCTGTAGGCCCTGGCACCGTAGATGAAGGATCCTGTGGTGAGGGTGATGTCCAAACTGACCATTCTTTCAAGCATGCCGACAGGGAAGACAGCGACTTGCATTGCTAAGGCCACAAACATCCGAGCAACCAGGCCATCATTGCCCTCATTACAACCTTGGCTTGCCGGACTAGACTGACTAGACATGGACGTGTCGAAGTCATGGCCACAAACTCGTTGAAGGTAGGACGGTAGGACCCTATCCGCTGAGCTGTCTTGGGTTGCTGACGGCAGGCTCTTGGTTCACACGTTTCTTGCTGTGCTCACGCTTCGTCATGAAGCGGCAGGCTGTTTGCGGTTCGAATTTCAACCCAGCACTTCCCACCTTGAGCATGCCAAGCCTCGCAAGCCCTATGCTTCATGAGCTATAGCTGTCGAGATGCGGAAGCCCGCTGAAGCTGAACCTTTCGGACATGTGCACGCTTTATGGCTATAAACTGTCCAGCCACGTCTGGGCGAAGCCCATAAAACACTCATCAGCCCAAGCCTCCAGTCTACTCCTGAATTGCGCCCGCCTTCTTCCCAACTCCCCGGGATGGCCAATGAGAGCGTGACCGTGGCCGACACACTCCGTGCCCTTCTGACATCGCGCGCCGACTCACGCAACTCGTCTCCAGTCAGGCCTTCTCAGAGGGTCCCTTGGAGGAAGAGGCCAAGCTGCCCAAGAACTACGCGTTGGCCTGGGGATGATCCAGAGGGATGCTGTGGGAATCTGTTTATTGCTGAGACCCTGTTGCTTCCCCGCTTGCTGCGGCGCGTGCCTCTCCTGCGAATTTTCGAATATTGGCCCATGATCTTGGGGGGCTGGGGTTAGCCAATGAAGAAATACATGAAATACATGAAGAAATCGACAGCCTCAATGAGCCTTCAGAATCCCAAACACATCAAAATGCAGATCATCCAAGGCAATGGTCGGCGTCCGAGTTCTGCCTCGCCGGTGGGAGCTCGCTGTCGGGTTTCTGCACACAAATAGCCTTTAAGCGGGGTCAGTTGCAATCGTGAGATGCCCACCCCTAAAGCTCAACCTAGCTGCTGAGAACTCAACTTATTGCATTTTGTTGTTGAAATGGGCTTGTTGATGCGACGGCTTCATGAACAGAGTCCTTGAAAGCTTTCATCGAGTGATCTGGAAGCCCCGGACCGCGTTTGATGATTTGAACCCTTTGCACCCCACGTACCCTGCATACCCGACAGGTGCAAGCTTCTGCGATCTCTGTCCGATTTGCAAGTGATTTAAATGGCTAAAGCCAGCCAAATAAAACCTTGAACCGCCAGCCCATGGGGAGGTGCTTCATCGATCGCAGCTCGTGCCTAATCTGCAGCCCGAAAAGCCCTAAGCCTTAAGCATTCTTCAGCCAAGGAACGGCCAAAAAAACAAGAGGACTTCGAGGGGTCAACTAAATCCTAAGGCGTCGAGTTCTGAGGCTGACGAAGGCCAGCCATAGATTCCTGTAACCTGAAATGCGGGACGGTGTTGGGGCTTTAGTGCCGTCAGAGTTTCAGCTAGAATATGAGACACATGTAGCCAAGTGATGTTGGATGCCGAAATGAGAGAGCAGAACAACTGCCTACCCTAACTTCCAAAGCCAGCAGATCCTCATATTCCACTCCTGCAAAGCTGCATGACACACTCAACAAGTGTCGACTTTGTTTTGTTAGCGCTTCCGAAGGAGATGCTCCTGAAGTGCCAATGAAAGTTGTCGTTATCCAGGTGCCAATGCAGGTGGAGCGTCTGGACGGTGGCCAGCTGAGTTGAGCAATGCATAGTCCCGCATATGTGGCTGTTCTTTTTCTCGTTTTTCGAGGACGGCGGTTTGCTGGCCATGCTGGCCTATTGCTACTGGTATGTATTGCAAGATATAAGATATAGCGACAAGATTGCTGTTCGTGTTTTACTTGCAAGAGGTAGGATGATGCCGCCGCGACTGAAACCTTGTCTTCTGGAATGGTAATGTTATCTTAGGCTAAATAAATTCGAGAACAAGTGCTCCTGGTGGGCAGGCTTGGTTTGTTTGCGGTATCTGGCTTGCCCGTGTTGCAGGGCCCACTGAAAAGTAATCAAGACATGTACTCACATGATGCAAGGGTTGCCGCTTTCTCGCCCTCAAACAAGGGCAACAGAGCATTCGAAGCCCAGCGCCTATGAACCTCCCTTGCACAAAGAGCCTTCATAGGCCAATGTCCCAAGAAACGCAGACTCCACAAGCCCAGTCTCCAAGCTTTCTCGCTGCAGACTGGAGCGTACGAATCCCGGCACCCGTGCAGCTCGAGCACAGCGGAGGACTATGGGTTTGACTGCACTCCCCGGGCTTTGCAACCCTACACTCCCTACACACCACATAAACCTGGATTTTGGGGCATCTTTGGGTGCTTGGAGTGTGCAATGCATGATGTAGACCAAAAGCACAGAGACCAAAACATGTATGCATGTGTACTGATATCATATCTATAACTCTATACATGAAGTACCCCTTATGCAAAAAAATGCCAAGGAAAAATCAATACAGGTCATATGTACACATACATACAGCTGTGTGTGGGTTTTTTCTATTTGTGTATTCATGTGATTCATGTGCTTCTTGACATGTAGCCCTTTCAAGCTCACGCAGGTTTGGATCTTGAGTGTACCCGCTGGGAGCGCCGCATAGGTTTACGAAGCCACTAGGCAACCGACTGTACATCCCAAACTCCCACTGGGCCTTGTGCACAAACCACACCTGAACCCCAGACTTATGAGAGGCGTGCTGGAACGATTGGCATGAAAATGCTGGCTGTTGGTGGCCGTATGCTAGTTGAACCAAGTAGTGCATGTGAGGGTCCTGTTTAGTCTTTGAAAGAGTGTGGAACATCACCATATCACTGCCACCTTTGCGCTACACTTAAGTGCTAACCGCTGGAACGGTAGCATTTCAACCCAGCTGCATGGCCTTTTGCCGGGACCAGGCCTTGAGCAGATGTCAGAACGCCTCAAAGCGCTTACGGAGACGCAGAGTACCTGCTACAAGGCCTTGGTTTGCAGGCATATTACAGGTGCTTTCGGGTTTTGCCCTTTTCGGGCAGAGAGGCATTCGCGCAGAGGAGGTTCTTCTTTGTCTTCTCCAGGAAAGCCTTGTGACAACTCTTTGGCATGGCTGACAAGCCATGCGGGTTCTGCAGACCCACATCTGGGAATCGGGTACGAGGGTTGGGACTTCTTTTTTTTCTTGCGGCGCGGCATCAGAATTTCGCGTGCGGGGTAGTTTCTTTCGAGCTTGCCTCGGCCCAAAGTCTGGAATTTCAGGGCTGGCTTTTAACCAAGGCCCTCAAGCCCCAAACGTCACGGGCTTCGGATGAGGATGGACCCTGAACCTAAGTTTGCACGTGCAGATGCTCGTAAAATTCATCTCATGCATGACGGAGCTTCGTATCATGTGGTCTCTGTGGCTCAGACATGTCCGTACACACTCTGTATGAACAAAGGGGTCCAAGCTTCACCTATCAGATAGACCTATCAGGCGGTGGAGAGGGAGATCCTCGAACGTGAGCGGCTCCGCCCTCAGAGCCCAGCAAAGCTCCCCAATAGCTCCCACGAACCGACCTCCACAGACAAAACAGTTCAGAACAACCACAGACCTCGGGGGCCACCTCGCTCGCCTTGCACCTTTTTTTGCTGCACCCATCCCACATCCCAATGCAGACCTCTCAGGGCTTGTGTGCTTGGTGCTGAGGGTCGGCGAGTTGTTGCCCTTGGGGACTGCAGGGTTGTAGGGTTGGGCCTAACTAGCTGGGTTGTGTTCAAATTGTTTTTAACTATGTCAGCAGTGCTGTCAAGGAAATTGCCTGGTTGCTCCTTCGGGCTGAACAATGTACGGATCCGACTTCATAATCCTGTGTTCTGGGTTTGGGAAGACCAAGCGCTGTCTGATTACGTTCCAGAAGACTGCCGAGGACACCCAGCTGGCATTCTAAGGTTTCTAAACCAGAAATCGCACTCAGAGTGTCTCGATGGCATGGCTTGAGGCTTAAGCTGCCGATAGACCCAGACCCCAACTCCTCAAAGCGAAGAGCCCCAGCTCCAGCTCCGAAGCATCAAGGTTGACAAAAGCACGTTCTTTTACCCCCCCAAGCCTTTTCCAACCCCCAAACCTTATGCCCATCCGAGACCCTCAGACCTTAATTTTGAAACCCACGCCTGAAGTAGACCTGGAGCCATGGAAGCCCTACATGGCAAACCCATCACTCTGTAGCGAAGTTCTGTTCTGTTCTGATAAGGCCTCCCCAATACCCCTTAGAAACCCTAGACGCCCTCAACGCGAGTGCCATGCTGAAGAAGTTGGCGCGTGGGGTTCCCAAGCTGGGCCCTGCGCTCCGGCGGGGCCTCCGCCGACAGCTCGCCTCAGCAGAGGCGAGGCTTTAGGGTTTAGGCGTTAGTAGCCTACTGGGGTTACAAGCACATGCCCCTTCGCATCTCGCGCTCTTATTCACAGGCCATTTAGCTTTCGCGCGCCGCTCACCACTGGCAAAGCGACTAAATCAATCACCTGCCCACGACGAGCAAGCACGCACCCAGACCCTGTTTATCCTTAGTTTCACGCCTGTTGTCCCGACGTTCGCTCTCTCAATCCCTTCGTTCCTGGGTCTTCATACTGTATGTTTCCACGGCTTGTTGTTTCCTTCTAGTTCTTTGGCTCTACTATTTTCCCATCCTCTTTGTTGCCTTCGCTGCTGAACAGACCATTTCCTAGAGGCAGTGGTTGACAGGGTATCTTCTTCTAGTTCTGAAGCTTTCAGGATAAGCACGAATGTCTTGTGCAGCCTACAGACTAATTTTTGTGCCGCTCGCAGAATTGGGGAACCGCCACCATCAGTTGCCTCTTCTCACACTCCTATACCGGCTCAAGCACTCGAAGCCGGATCAAACCTGTGCACCGCTCGAAGTTTCCCTTTCCGCGCCCATCTTCAGTGTTCATCGCTTGTGCTCCTCAGGAGTCGCCGAGTTCAGAACGAGCACGAAAGAACATCTGAGTGTCATACCAGAACCGTCAGCTGGCAGTTGCAAGGATGTGCAGATCTTGTTCTGACAACCCTGGTGTAGCTTTTGCAACAGTGAGTCG